GGGGTTTCACCATGTTGATCAGGATGGTCTCGATCTCTTGACCTCGTGATCCACCCGCCCCGGCCTCCCAAAGTGCTGGGATTATAGGCTTGAGCCACCGCGCCTGGCCTATTTAATTTTTTTTAATTAAAAAAGATTATATAGAGACAAGGTTTTGCTGTGTTTCCCAGGCTGGTCTGAAACTCCCATTCTCAAGTGATCCTCTTGCCTCAACCTTCCAAAGCACTGGGATTATAGGCATTAGCCACTGCACCTGGGGCCTTGTTATTCTAGCAGATTTTTAAATTTTAACATGCCTATTTTCAGAAATAATTGGAGGCTTGGCTTGCAAGCCCCTTGAGTAGCTAGAGTTCAGGTGGCAGCCACCACTGTTTTTCTCATGGTCCTCGACCCCGAGTGGCCTGGCATGGGCACTGTTGAGAGTGGGGCACTGTTGAAGTGGCCCATGGAGCTCAAGGTGGGGCTGCACCCTCTGCCTGTTCTCTTTCAGGCCTCAGGCGCCTGGATGCTGAGCTGCTGCTGCTGCTTCATGTCGACACAGACTCTTCTGTGGATGCTACAGCAGCCAGACCTCCCTGGCATGCCCATACCTGGAGCGAAATTTTCAGAACACACAAGAATATAGTCATTATTAGAGGTGAAAGCAGGTTCTTAGAGTAAAGTGTGTTCCTCGGGAAATCAGCTTCATTCCCCAGCACCTGGCTTCCCTGTTTTTTTCTGGATGAAGAAAGACCTCTTTACCCTACACGTTGGAAGTATATGTGAGCATCTCTTAATTAAAGCTACCATTTGGGAGGATTAGAGCAAATCCTCAATACCTAACTAGCAGAACAGTGAGAATCTTTTGTGAAGTTCACACATGACCAGATTATGTGATGATACAGGGTAAGGGCAACAGGCCCTGTGTCTTGAAGCCTCTTTGCATATCAAGTCCCTCCAAAGGTGGCTGCTGTACACTTTTTGCACCTGGTTTGCCATCACATTTCAGCTCCAGCTGCATCTGAGAACACTCAAATACCTCTTTAGGTCTTTTTAAAAAATTGTTATTAAAGATAACCAAAAATGTCTCATCTTAACTATTGTTATATGTACAGTTTAGTAGTGTTAAGTGTATTCACATTGTTGTGAAACATCTGTAGAAGTTTTCATCTTACAGATCTGAAAATCTCTCCCCACTTAACACCTCCCCCTAGGCCTTAGCAGCCACTATTCTACTTTCTGTCTGTGAATTGGCTGCTTTAGATATGTCATATTAATGGAATCATGCAGTATTTGTCTTTCTGTAATTGACTTATTTCACTCAGCATAATGTCATCAAGGTTCATTCATGTTGTAGTGTATGACACTATTTCCTTTCTTTAAGGCTGAATAATATTCTGTGATA